TACTTTCATACAATGATCACATATTCACAACTCTCAATTACACAAGTAATGCACATACTACGCATATGGATAACTTCATACAACAATCATATATTCATTCCATGAGACTCAATGCAACTCAATGCAACTCATGCCATGTGGTACCAACACTTGTTATCATTTTTCGGTTTTTACACTTAAACCGGGTCCGTTCCCTAGACCGATAACAACAAAAACCCGTTCCCTAAGCTTTCAAACCCCACTCTAGGTTTGGGACAAGTCACTAGCCTCCACGAGACTAGCAAACATTGCCTCTTGACTAAATGATGCATATGCAATCAACAACAAAATGCACTTAAGACCGATCACACGTCTTAATCCCATGCATTCACATAACTCCTCCCTTCAAGAATTAAACAAGATTGCACACACAACATATCATATAATCAAGTATTCATACTTTTCATCAACATATTTGTCCAACAATGCACGCATATCTTACAATATGCTCTCATGCATTAATTCACAATAATCGGATACAACAAATATGCATTCATAATTCAACCTCATTACCTTTTCAAACAATGCACACATACTCACAATATATTCTCATGCTTTCACAATATCGCATACAATCAATATGCATTTACACTTCAATATCATTACCACATTTATCAAGCAATGCACACATATTCACAATATGTTCTCATGCATTCTTCACATACAAACAATATGCATATATTTGTCAAAAGACTATATTTCATAATCGATTCCACCATCTAGGATTCACGCCATACGGCTACCCACAGCATATCATATCACAACATGCACAAGCTATACGTTATATAACAAAAGTATTCTGCACAATAACACATCAATCACACACATTCGCGACGGTAAAAATCAACACAACAATATGTTTTCGATTTTCTGCTATAATTGAACCAGGTACAGGCCTCAAAGCCATTTTTTATAGAAAGATAATCTTGTTAACTTACCAACGCTTCGAACGGGGGTCAAAACCGACTTACGGTTCAAGAGTTATGAATTTTTGAAGTTTTCCGAAAAACCAGAATTTTGCCTAAACACGGCTACGGGATTTTGCATTTTCGCCCGAAAATCCGACTGATTCAATTCTTTTTTTCGAAACAAACACATACTCATACTCACCTAACATATAGCAATGAATTAGAACCATTAAACACGATTTCTACGACGTCCGATTTTCACTCAAATCTCAAACCCTCAATTATCCAAAAATGTCAAAACTCACAAACTCAACCAAATTCAATCAAACGAAATCCAATAATCACGGCTAAACATTACCCGACTAAACTATGCAATTTATTTTGAATTCTAACCGTTCAAAACTCAATTCTATCGGTTTAACTCATTTGCCCTAGAAATAGAAAATAGAGAAAACTACCAACAAATCCAACACAACTCATACATAATCATACACATTGATCAAATAATAATGTTTCTCACCCTTACCTTGATTGGATTGAAGCTTGAAGTTGAATCTTGATGATTTCTCCAAGTTTCCCTCTTCTTTTCTCTTTTCTCCTCTTTCTCTATTCTTTCTCTCCTTTTCTTTCTTTCTTTCTCTTATGTTTCTATCTCTTTTCTTTTCTCTCCAATTTCCCTTATATATTCTTTTATTTTCTTTCCATCATAATTCTTCTCTCAAAAATATCTGTCAATTCATTTCTCACAAAATATCTCATTTTATCATTAATTAGAGAATATCTAATAAATCCACATTATTCTACCAAGTAGAATAAATTAATTAAATCCATTAACTCATTTAAATAATCCAATAATTTATTTAAATCAGATAAATCACATAAACCAATTAATTAGCATAATTAATCACTTATTGAAAAATTGGGCTGTTACAGTGAACACCGTGTTGAAGTTGCAACTAGGGTTAATCAGAGCTTCGTTTCAAAAAAGTATTGTCAACATTGAGCATCAATATACTTCATTATATACCAACTTGTAAATTTTGTTTTAAGGTAGTGTATACAACACATATGGAAGGAACTAAAAAGGGTAAAATTTGTTGGTACAAGCAAAGATGTTTGTGGTTGCTTCATTAGAATAACACATGGATTACCTTGTGTGTGTCAACTTGCTGGTTTACAAATACAAAACATTTATGTTCCTTTAGATTCAATTCATGTTTTTTTGAAGAAATTACACATTGAAAAATATGATGTCATTCATGAAGATAATGGTACAAAGTTGGATTTAGAAGCAGAGTGTGAAGAGTTGAAGACATATTTCAATTGATTGGATTTTGTAGGGCAGAGGGTGTTGAAGAAAAAGGTATGGGAACTAACACATTCATCAACAACTTTTATGTGTCCACCGCCAGTGAAGTACAAGCCAACAAAAGGAGTTAAGAAGAGAAAAAAGGATGAAGAGAGTGATGTGCATTATGATCCTTCATAGTAGGAGTATGGTGAGGGCTCGCAGGGGAGTCAGACTATAAAAAGATCATGCACGAAACTAACAGGAAGTCAACCGTCAAGTTAGCCAGGTCAAAGTCAATCGTCCACTGCATCTTCGGTGCATCTTTACTTGTCTCAGTTTCTTGGTTTCTAGCATCCATACATTGATGACGTTGTTGATGTGGGTGATGATGAAAATTGTAGTTTTCCGACTATTGCAACTTTACTTTGATGTGGCGAAGAGTAATGGTCGTTGGTTCATACGTAGTTAGATACTCAAGTCCATTAACACCCTAAGTTATTTTTCAATTTGTTCTATGACACGGTCTATGTAGGAATGCCTTAAAAGTAGAACACTTAGGTGCGCAAGGTCAAGAAAAATGGATGACGATTCCTGATGAGTTACCCTATTGCTTATAGGTACAATGTCGTATTTGTCTCCTTGTCAAAGATATTTTACATTACCTTTTTTCCTCTTACCTTAACTCCACCTATGTATACGAGCATGCATAAAATCATTGTTGTTGGTTTCGTCAACGACAATCATTGGGTTTAGGTAAAGTTGAAACCTGATAGTCCATTACCTCCCGCCACTGACCGTTGGAGACAAAACTGTACTGAAGATGCAAAAGCATGTGAATCAGCATATGCAGGTGTTCGCCGTAAAAATTGGTGAACAACCACTGGTCTTACAAATAAAAAAAGATATGTTTTATCTGCAGGATTGATCACACAAATCCTAGGACATGTACTAATTGATCTTAAATAATGTTTATAAAGACGATGAAAAATTTGGCAGAGTTTATGATAAAATAACTTATTTCAAGTGTAAAAGAATTTGGGTGAAAAAAAGTAAAATCGAAGTACTGACAAATAATGAAGATAAGAACTTGCATAAAGAAAGAATAAATTCTTAAGAAAAAAGATTTATTAAATTGCATTGAAATGAAAAGATGGCGTTACATCAACGTACATTCTTACAAACTCGTTTCTCTCAACACACGAGTACTTGGAGTATACTGAAGAACTTTTAAACAATTGAGCACACACAAACCCTAACACTAAAACTTGCTATTTATACTAATAGAGAATATCTGCCATTAATGACTAGCAAACGAAATCGAGACAAGTGTCGCTCTGCATGCCTTCAAATTCTATAAGCGCTCCACGTGACTTCTTTGAGGAATGGATGAGACCGAACTTTCCCCCCCTTTATTTGAATTCAAACCTTAGTGTCGAAATGCCTTCAGTGGCACTTCTGTAGAATCGAATTTTCCAACTGCTAAGAAATATCTCTAAGTCTCAAACATAAATTCTCCTGGCGAAAGGACGTCTTCGACTCATATTCCAAAAATATGTCTTCAGTCGAAGTCATTAAATTTCTTCGAAAAATCTATTCCTACTTTTAATCTCATTCAGGCGTCGAAATTAAGAGTCAACAACAGGACAAATTAGGCACTAGGAAGTTGAAGTTAGGAAGTCATCCTAATTTCTTATGTAATCTTGTTCGTAGAACAACTTTTGTGGACAATATTTATCTATTATACGTGATGATTTTTTTATCGAGCAATTTATGCAGACATAGTAAAGGTTGCAACATAAAATTTTTAGAATTTGAAAATTTTGGGCTCATATCAAACATTTTTTATGCAAATATTTAGGCAGACATAATTTTTTATCGAGTCAAAAATATTAAAATTATATGTTCTTGAAAATTCTGGACTCATACCAAAATTTTTGAGATTTTGAAATTTTTGGTTTTTAAAAATTTAAAAATTTTAAATTTTTTGAATATTTTACGTAAAATACATAATTTCTAAATATTTTAACAGGAAATTTTCACAGGAGCGGTAAAAAACAGTAAATCTACCAAGTGTTTGATATAGACTCAAAATTTTTAATACCAAATTGAAAATTTCAAAATTTTCAAAAAATTTTCTAAGAATATATAGGTAAGTTTGCTCAAAATAATGGTTGTCAAATTTAATTGGAGAATTCAAGTAAAATGCTACTCGAAGAGAAACCCAAGAGGCCTTTTCGACCTGGGTCCCAGGTCCTAAAATCGGATACTACAGACCCATTAGTTGCCCACCTAAAATTGACCCGGTGGAGCTCCAACAGATACTACTCAAACACCATACCAAATCATCTAACTAGAGCATATAGGAGTTACTATCAGTTACAGTTACGGTGCCGTAATGAAATTTAATTCTGCGGCAAGTTTAACTTTTTGTTTATGTTAGCGGAAATTTGGTTCTGCGGCAAGTTTAGCCTTTTCTATGGCAGTTTTAACTTTTAGCCCTAAAAGTGCAATTTCTTGGGTCCGGTTCCCGGTCCTACCTATCAAACCGGTCGGTCGGTTCGGTTTATATTACCACTGCTTCCACCAACCCCATTCCATTACATAATCCAACAACCCCTTCATTTTCCGTCACACAACAGAGTGGAAAGCAGCACCTACCACCGGTAAGTATAACTACAACATTTTTATTTCCTTATATTCTCTCAGTTTAACCCTCTTAACTTAATTAAACTCAATTATCTTTCTCTTTAGTTGAAGCTACGATGAAGAATGCAACGTTAATTTGCGTCCCTATAATGGGCGAAACCGTCGGAAAAATGGCACTTGATATTCAAAAAGCTAAACTCAATGGAGCAGACCTTGTTGAAATTCGATTGGATTCTCTCACCACTTTCAATCCTCATCAAGATCTTAACACTTTCATTCAGCAGCACCATTCCTTGCCCTTGTTGTTCACTTACAGGTTTCATTTGCTTCTTTTTCGTTATTTTTTTTGATTAATTGTTGATAATTTGAATTGTATTGTATTGTATTGAATGATGATGAAAACCTTATACCTTTTCTTAGACCGACATGGGAAGGTGGTAAGTATGATGGTGATGAAAACAAACGGTTGGATGCATTACGGTTAGCCATGGAATTGGGAGCTGATTACATTGATATCGAACTTAAGGTTTGATTGTTTTTCCCTTTTTTAATGCTTATTAAACATAATCAATATCTAATCTTACTCACGTGTGGGAGTTATCTTCATACAAACAATAATAAAAAGTTTGGGATTGTAGGTTAGGTAGATATGATACTTTTGATGTACTTACTAAATATATAATTCCGAAGATGCTATGTTTTTTGGTTGGTTTGGAATAGTTTATGGTTAATTTCAATTTTTGCATTGTTCTAGTAGGTTTCGCCGATTTGGCATTGAGCATTATGTAGGAACTCAACTGTTGGTTTGGTTGAAGGCATCTAACTTGTCTCATATACTGATAATCGAAATAGTGTCTAGAAATACAAGGTTTTGTTTTGGATTCAAAAGCAAACAGTTTATTGTTGTGTACTGTGTAAAAGTTTTTTCTGTCATTTGATGAAGCTGGATACTGTCCGTGTGTTATTTGCTATCTGATATGTTCTGAATTCTAAACTTAGTGCAACATTTCCTGTTCCTGCCATATCTCCAAAGGTTGCTCACGAGTTCTATGACTCTATACGTGGGAAGACGTTCAACAAAACCAAAGTCATTGTTTCATCTCACAACTATCAGTTTACTCCGTCAGTTGAGGATCTTGGCGACCTTGTGGCAAGAATACAAGCAACTGGGGCAGACATAGTAAAGATTGCAACGACTGCCGTGGAGATCACTGATGTGGCACGTATGTTTCAAATTATGGTGCATTCTCAAGTAAGTCATGTATGTCTGAAAGCGGATATTTTGAATAAAATGTTGATCCCATACACATTCTCTCTTATCTTTCATGGTGGGTGCTATGGACCTTATACATTTGTGTGTTCAGTTATTGCATGATCATAATTATAAGAGTACTTCAAGGTCGGTTAAGAAATTAATCTTTCTGATTGATCGACAACTAAATTTAGGAAGAGAGGTCAAAATTGTTGTCAATGTGCATATAGGTGAAGATAAAAGTACCGATGCAATGGAAACAAATGCAAATTTTTAATCAGTATCTTGTGCTACCATTTAAAATAATATACTGATGACGCTGGAATGAATTCATGATGTAGTCTGCCTTTACAATTTAAATGTTACATGTCAAATGAAAACCTGCAATAGGTCTGGATTGTATGACCTTCTCATATATGATTCCTTAAAATTTATGTTGTCAATTTCAAGTCCCATTCCCCTCAAACAGCACTCTTGTTGCTGATTATATTTTTACTGATAATGCTTATTTTTTTGATAATTACTGCGTTAAGGTGTGATATATGACGAAAAATAATTTTATAGAACTATCGTTGGGATTTCCAGGTTCCATTTATAGGACTTGTTATGGGGGATAGGGGATTGATTTCACGTGTACTTTGTGCAAAATTTGGTGGGTATCTCACTTTTGGTACACTCGAGTCAGGGGTAGTTTCAGCTCCTGGTCAACCTACACTTAAGGATCTGTTGCATCTATACAATTTCAGACAAGTGGGACCTGAAACAAAAGTATATGGGATTATTGGGAAGCCTGTCAGTCACAGTAAATCACCCATATTGTTTAATGAAGCCTTCAAGACAGTTGGTTTTGGTGGAGTTTTTGTATTTTTATTGGTGGATGACCTTGCCAATTTTCTCAGGACTTACTCATCAACAGATTTTGTGGGATTCAGGTTTGAACTCCTTATGAAGATTGTTTGAATTTATGTTTTCTAATTTTTGGCATTTCATGCATGTCTTATATGGTTACGTTATGTTAAGTGGTATTATAGTAATACATGCTAACAAGCTATGTATGGAGAGTAAACTATCAGTCTACTGCTTATTCATCCGTGGCATGAGTTATCAATATGTTTACACTAAGTTTCAGGATACTTGCCACTTAACAATATTTCAAAACATTGGAAGTGCTGTCAAAGTAGTTCCAAAAACGAATATAAAATCTTGTTAGATATTTATATACTAGTAGTTTTATGGTTTGTTTAATTTGATGTTTGCAATTTGTAAGGCTTATTTCATGATAGCTTATATCACTGTTTAAGGCTAATGGATCTATAATATTTATTGCTGGCCAATCATCGTAGCTGGTATACACATTTTACCTCTCACATTGCTAAGGTTTGATCTTTAATATTTATGTATTTCAGTGTTACCATTCCTCACAAGGAGTCTGCCCTTAAGTGCTGTGATGAGGTTGATCCAGTGGCTAAGGTATTTGATTATTTATTTACATTGTGTTACAGTGTATGTTGAATAGTCTTGGATCATTCTTGAGAAGTGTTTTAATTTTCTTTAAAAGAATTTCAAACTGGTTATGCAGTCAATAGGAGCTGTAAACTGCATTGTAAGAAGACCAACAGATGGGAAGTTGATTGGGTATAACACTGATTATGTTGGTGCTATTTCTGCTATTGAGGATGGGCTACGAGGTAGGCGTCATATCTAGCTGCTAGAAATTATACTATTACTGTTGTAGGCAACTCTTCTGAGATGCTATTATGTACATAAATTATTTTATGGCAGGTAAACTCAATAGCAGTGGTACAGCTGTTTCGCCGTTAGCTGGTAAGCTGTTTGTTGTTATTGGTGCTGGTGGTGCTGGTAAGGCACTTGCTTATGGTGCAAAAGAAAAGGGAGCAAGGATTGTGATTGCAAACCGCACCTATGGTAAGCTTAATGATACCTATTTTTCTACGTAAAGTTAAAAGAAATTGAATTGTGAAAGATTCTTCCAGGATCTTGTTGCAAAACACCATATGTGGGAGATAGTTGATAATGTGATGAATTGTTATAGTTAATTAAATGGATGCTAATTATCTTCATGAGATGTTTCTACTTCTAGTTTAGAAGAGAAAAATCATTTTACTAAAAAAGTTGCATGGTTTTGTGAATAATTAATTATAATGATTTGAACAGTATCAGTCATTTACTTTTGCTTGCCTTGTATGCATTACAATCCTTTTTACTCGTTAAAATTCTTCTCTTAAATAAGAAAAGGTTTTTGTGTTCATGATATTATGCATTCCACTCATATATGTAGATTTGTTTGTTCAGTTCATTGCCAAATGGATGCAAATTATATTGATTTGAACCATCTCAGTCAGTTACTTTTGTTTTCCTTGTATGTGCATTACTATCCTTTTGCTTATTAATATTCTTCTCTTAAAATAAGAGAAGGGGTCTGGATTTACAGTATTATATATTTCACTCATGTATGCAGATTTGTTCCTCAGTTCATTGTCAAATGGATGCAAAATATTTACTCAAGTTTTGCACAAAATCATGTGTTGCTTGCGGCTTCTATCAGTGTTGCATTCACTATATATCTTTTATTACAAAAACAGTCTTGTTTTTTATTTCGCTTCCGCTGTATAACACATTTAATAATGTTTATCTGTATTAATATTTATACATAGGTCGTGCCAGAGAACTTGCCGATGTAATTGGTGGAGATGCTTTAGCCCTCAGTGATTTAGATAGTTACCATCCCGAGGATGGTATGATTCTTGCAAACACAACATCTATTGGAATGCAACCAAAAGTTGATGAAACACCTATTTCTAAGGTATATTCCTTATATAGTTGTACTATCAATCAGTGTGCTATTATTGTTAGTGGATTTTTTTAGTTTGATATTTTAATGACCGTCACATCTACTTTCATTTTCCTTTTGCAGATCGGATTTCTAAGCCAATGAAATATAATTATATGCTTTGAAAATGCATTTTTCATTTGCTGATTTCACTATATTTTGTAATATTACAATATTTTATGAGATTAACTTGTATGTCCTGATGGTGTAAAACTCATTTACACATGCATCTAATCAAATCACATTATGATGCCACTATGTTATGCTGGTTTTTAAAATATTGACATGATGAAATGCGATTGGATGCACATGTAAAAACGTTTTGCACTGGTTGTGCTTACAAATTAAATGATGTTAGTTCGCTATCAAGAATACTCATTCTTTATGTAGAAGTGGAGCTTAGGCCCAAATAAACACTTCTGCCATTGAGATTCATGTTTGGCCCATGGTGTTTCTGTTCTAGATGGGTGTCACTATCAAATATTACTACTATTAAGGCACAATATGTCTTGCTATGGAACAAGAGTATGTTGAACTCGGGGACCTGATCACTCCTTTGTTTTTGTAGCATGCATTGAAATTCTACTCGCTGGTTTTTGATGCTGTATACACGCCAAAAATTACTAGACTCTTGAAGGAAGCAGAAGAATCAGGAGTCACTATTGTTGAAGGAATGGAGATGTTTATTGGACAAGCATATGAGCAGTACGAGAAGTATACTGGATTGCCAGGTAAACTGACTACGTTACATGAACTTTTTGGCCCTGGTTCTGTTGTCCCTGTTTCATTGGTATGTACTTTATTTGGTCCAGTGGTTTTAAATTAACATCTTATTTTAACTCTTTGATTTCACTTTGCATTTGCAGCACCAAAACAACTCTTCAGAAAAGTTATGGAAAACTATTAATGAGGTTTGCTAGTCCTATCTTCTATCTCACTGCATTTTATATTTTCACGTTTTATCATAAGAAAATATCTTTCTGTTTTCACTGGATATCTTATTTTGTATAGGAAACAGTTAAAATAATTGAAAATTTGATTTCACAAATTTTTAACAAACAATTGGAAACAAGAGGTGATATGAAAACAAACTTTTGTAATTAAAAGTGAATATAAGAAATAAAGACAAACATCATTCCTTCTGCACATAATCTTTTAGCACAGAATGCTTGATATAGTTTTAGTTACCCATCTGTTTATTATCCTTGACTTATTCTCCTCTGAAATACTGGCTACAGATCTTATTAACTATCCGATTGAACATATGTTCTTCACATTTTTATTGTAATAGGACGAGAGTAACAAGGCATAATATCTAACTATGGAAAGGTAATGGTTTTTTCTTTATCTTTTGCAGAGTACATCTTAATTCTAGAAGCAAGATGGTGGCGATCTACGTTGTTTACTTCTGTAGTTTTATCTTCAAGGCTGTGATATCGGGTTGCATTTGTCATCTCAATTTTGTTTTTTACCCAAAAGAAAAAAATATTTAGATTGCTTCGGGGATACTTCTATAGGGCTTAGTGATTTATTTACATTTATCCTTCCCATTAGGAAGACTTGTTGGTATTCACAACTAAAATATTAGCAACACGTTTTTGCTTTGTAATTGTATTATATGTAACTTTTGAAGCTGAATAAACATTGTTTCAATTAGTTTTATGAGAAAAAGTAAAGAAAACTAGGAAAAAAGGACTTGCAATAAAAATATAATCTTAGTGCAGTAATTAATTTCGTATTATATACTGGCTGAGTTTTGCCAACAAAAGGTAGTAGGTTCAAATTAGAGTTTTAATTGTCATAAGGTTAATTTATTCATAATTTTCAAAAATTAAAGACTATTATATGTGCTTAAATATAGTGTTTAAATATTGTACTTGTATAATTTTATTGGCTCAGGTTAGACGCAATGGCGAGGAGCGAGCTATCCTGCAAAGTCAGAAGCTGCTTGAATGGATCCTACGTCCGAAAAGGCCCACAAGGCCGTCTGGATCTGACTCTCATTATCCACTCATCCAGTAAACATGGGTTCACAATGTTCCTACTAGCAAGTCTCTATAAATATCTGTCTTAGAATTGAGAGGAAATTTAATCTCATATTCATAGAAAGCACCCATAAATAAGACTTTGTCACCCTCGTGCCTTTGACAATTCCTACTAGCAAAGGATTGTTATGTATCTATACCTTTTTTAATAAATAAGTGGCAGATTGCTATGTATCTATACCTTTTTTAAAAAGTGGCACCTTCCGTGAGGATCGATAAAACTAACCAGAGTCTCAAGTTCAATCAATCATAATCTTTTACAGGCGGTGATCACAGTGGCACCACCGGTGGCGGCGACTTGTAAAGCATGCTGCTTAGATTTCACTTTGTCGTCCTACCAGTAACATCAGTCTCTAGGGAAGGAAATCATGTTTACATTCTTTATTTCTCTTAAATTATCATGTTTTAGTTTCAATTGTTCAAGTTGGTTTGTGCTATTGTTGTTTTAATTATTTAATAAGCCTATGGCATGCCTGTTGAACACAAATACTGATGGAATGGGGAATAGATTAGGTTGCAGGGTAGTGGTTTATATATACTTTCTTCAACTAGTTCCGAGCGGTCATGTCAACAAAGAAAATAAAAATAAGAATTTTAATGGACCCTATGTATTATTAGGGTACCATATAAAAATATCTTTAGTTTTTAGAGATATATTTTTGGACAAATCATAATTAATAGAAATATGACTTTAACATTAAAAAATTCTTGAGATACATCTTTAAAATTATTTCGGAAATACATTTTTGGATAGTATTGGAGTTTAAATCGCGTCAACACTCTTCTCCTTCCTCATTTTTAAAAAAACATAAAATTTGTTCAAACTCTCAATTTTTTCATCAATCAAGCTCAAAGGTTCTTGAATTAACATTAAGTACATTAGAGACATCATCCAAGTATCAAACAAACTCTAAATTTGTAAGTTTTTTATGTTTTGACAAGTTTTTGAGTTTTTATGTAAATGGGCAGAAATTGATGATTAAGGTAAAAAATGGAGTCGAAATTGCATGAAAGATAGTTTATACATGCTGCAAAACATATTTGTTAGTTGAAAATGACGATCAAACTATTATTTGGGGTTTGGTGGTCTGCATTGCCGTCATTGAAGGACCTAAAGAGTTGTAGAAAATTTCAAAGACACATCTCCAAAATTTCTTAACGTTTGGATTCTCATTACCGGGAGACGCATCTCTGTAAATTATCAATTTGTTTTAATTTTTTTTGTTGCTTTTATTGATTATATGGTTGCTTGTACCAATTGTATGGTTTAGTTACAAGCATTATTGCACAACATGCATTAGTGCGAAGGGAGAAGAGCCAGGTTTTGGAGGCTCCTGTTCACTCTAGTCATGCAGAGACATCTACTTCTGGGACTCACGCTTCTCTATCTTCTTCTTCCCTTAGGAGAGACAAATTTCACCTAACGACACATCACTTTCTCCATCCTCGCGCAGACGACAAATTTCACCTATTCCTGCGCCAGAGGTACCTAAGTCACCGGTGGTCCTTGAGGCACCAGTGCCACCAAAAACTGATGAGACTTTTTAGCAAGTACCACCTCCGACTGATAAGGTTGTTGAGCCAATGCCACCACTGGCTGATGAGGCTGCTGAGGATGATGAGCCACCTCAGACATTTGGAGGAGGCCTTGTAGAGTTATCACTGTTGCCTCTGTACCTAGACCATACTTCCAGACATATTTAGGATGAAGAGGTAAAATTAGTTGAATTTATTTTTTGATTTACATTTATTATTATATTACAAGTTTTTGACATAATTTATTTTTCTGCAGGACCGTGATTCGCTGAAGTTTATTAACCATGGGTGGAAGATTACTGGCTTTTCTCAGCGAAATGAGGAGTGGTTTCAGGTAACTTTGTCCCTAACTGGGATGAAGGACTTGTGCATGACCGATTATATTACAGTCAACCACAGGATGCTTAACGCATTTGTGGAGAGATGACACACTGAAACCTACTGAGACCTCGTCATTTCATCTACCTCTTGGTGAGATGTCTATCACACTTGATGATATGTCGTGTTTACTGCATCTTTCGATCAGGGGGAAACTTCTAGATCATGGAGGATTAGCAAACACGAGGCACTCAAGATGATGTTAGACTATCTCGGAGTTGACCCAGAGGATGCCATGATGGAGTTTGAAAAAACCAGATGGGTTCTTGTTAGGTTTGAATTCTTGAAAAGCGTATATATAGATGAGATCGTTAGAGCAAAGAATACTAGAGGTATTGACGAGCAGGTGGGGCTCCATAAAGCATATGCTATGAGAGAATATATGCTATATTTGACTGGCACTGCAATTTTTGCATACAAGAATGCCACTTATACATATGTCATCTATTTATGGTACTTCAAAGACTTCAAGCAGATCCATGAGTACAACTTGGGTGGGGGGGGGGGGGGGGTCTTGTTTGGACTACTTGTACTCGAAGTTATCAGAAGGTTGTAGGTGGAAGACGAAGTAGGTCACAAATAATACCACACTACTGACAGTAATATTTATTGGTATTTTAATATTTCTGTGTCATTTTCATTGCATTTTTGCAACGCTCTTACTGATGAATCGTGTGTTCCAACACTTTTTCAGGCTTGGATCCTCCAGCACATCCCGCACATCTCTGGCTGGTTGTGTGTATCGACTTACACCGATTTTATGTTGCGTGCTTCTACATTTTCCCCTCTAAGAGAGAACCAAGTGATATAGTCGTTCATAGTGTATCTTGATGGCTTGGTTGTCGAGGATATGCACTTTAACATTTTTAAAAGTTAATATTTTACCCCATAAAATATTGTTTAAATAATTATAAATGTTATATATTATAATGTTTTGGTGAAAATTTTTGATAGAAGAAATGATAGGATTATAATTTAAATATGATATTTATTTTTATTTTTCATATAAACATATTATTAAATTGTTAATTTTCTTCTTTAAAGAACACAATCAATATATAAATTAGTTAACAACTTTTATTTTTATTGATTAAAAAAAACAATACTAAATTAGTGGAGTAATTATTATTAAGTAAATAAATATAATAAATTATTAAAAAATCAAATTAATGAAATAATTATTATTAAATAAATAAATAGAATAAATAGAGTAAATAAAATAAATATATTAATTAACTAAAATACAGTAAATAGAATAAATATATTTGTAAGTCGAATATTAAAAAAAATTAAAAATTAAAAAAAAAATAAATAAAAAATAAACATGAACCGAAAGACTTTCAAAAAGTCTTCCGGTAAACAAGCTAAAAAAATGTGAACCGGAAGACTTCCAAAAAGTCTTCTGGTAAACAAACCAAAAAAAATGTAAACCGGAAGACTTCCAAAAAGTCTTCCGGTAAACAAACCAAAAAAAAAATGTGAACCGGAAGACTTCCAAAAAGTCTTCCGATAAACAAACCAAAAAATTATAACTTTTTATACGAGGGTATTTTGGTCCAAAAAATTTTAGTGTAGGGGTATGGGTATAATTGTAGGGGTATGGGGTAAAATTTCCTCGTCCGCGAGGAAAAATACAGAGTAGTCCAATCCGTGGAGGTTCATTGAAGTTGTCCAGACCTTCATTTCACGTAGGCACAAGACGACGAAGTCTTGGCGAGCACAATCCCCTCATTCATCCGTAGTCCCCCGAACTACGTTGACTCCGACTTTTCTATTGCACGAGCGAATACGTAGGCCTAGGACATCGAAGTCCTATCGAATCTCCTTTGGTTTTTTTCCCTGTAGTTTCTGTTAGCAAGTAGAGCTTTAGATAAATACACCCTTTGATTAGATAACAAGCGTGGATCCCGTTGAGTTCAACGAACGCGAGGGGGTGCTAATACCTTCC